GGAGAAGTGAAGTGTTTGAAGAGTTAGCAGGGTCAAAGTTAGAGCCTTAAGAGCAGCTTAAATAAATAAGGGAATAACCTTGATTTTGTTTTAATTAGTGCTGCCTCTGCCTAGTTTTGGAACAGTGAGAAGATACACAAAGCATGTAACTGGAAAGAATGTTAAAGGAAAATACTGCCATTACTTGAGTCATTCTTTGCTGAAATCTGTGACAATCTTAGCCTGTAAGTTACTTTTTAGTATGGAAGGACTCTCAAATGTGCATAATTAAGTGCAGGACTGAGCCATTCAGTCATCTATGAAAAGCCTTCTCCTGAAGAAAATTTTACTCACATACCTGATTCATCTCCTGTTGGTTAATTTCTGACTCGCGTTTTTATCTTACAGGCACAGGCCTTGTGTTTTGTAACTCAGCCTGTTTTTTAAGACATAGAGCCTATGGCTAATAGAATGTACATGTTAAACATACTTTTAATTAAACTGTTTTTTCCCCAAATAGTCTTACTTTACCAGGGATCTCACAGGGCAGTGGGCCAGTGGCCAGCTGTGCACTGCATGGAACAAACTGTAGGCTGCAGTTCTTTCCTGAAATTGGAAAGCCTTGTGATATACAGATATGTTAAGAAAATGGCAGTTTTACCAAGGAGGCTAAGGGCTAAGAACGGGATGGAAAGAAGTATTACTGGGAAACCCCAAGAGTGGGTGAATCATTTCAGAATTGTGCTGAGGCAGACACAGCACAGGGGGCTTGTTTCGTTATTACAAGCAGTGATACTTGCTGTATGACCAGAGGGATCTGCCCCTCTCATGCGGTAGCTGGTGTATTTCACAGCTCAGGAACAGCTAATTCTATAGCTGAGCCTAAATTTCCAATCCATGTGCACTTGGGAAAGGCATCATAGGAACTGAAGGTTAGATTCTTGTTGAGTATCTTAGATTTTTGTTCTTTTTTAGGGTATAATTCTTTAACTGTACACAAGTAGCTCAACAGCAAGAATTAGACTGTGAATCTCACAGCCAAATTAAATTTACTTGGCACTGCTTTAGCTGTGCAACTTTTTACTTGGTCCCGTTTTAGTCACTGATTTTACCATGGATGTGCTGGGGAAGCTCAGACATCCAACTGCAGCTTCAGAGGAGCTCTCCAGTTGTTAAAACTGTACTGGAAGCAGGCAGGGGTTTCATATTCCAGGAAAACTTAGGAATTGACACAACTTACATGACAGGGAGATGTCAGACTTCCAGGCACATGCAGTGAAACTTCTTAGGTAAATCCAAGTCGCCAGACAGGTGCCTACAAATGTCCTTGGCAGGCTATTTTTTTTTTTTCAGTAGATGTACTACATGATTTCAAAACAAAACAAACTCCAAGAACACAAACCCCTCATTTTATGATTTCATGGATGTTTCCTTGGGCATACCACTCTTGTCTTTGTCCTACTGCTACTAGGACCAATAACTGAGCTATATTTAGGGGAACTGCATGTCAGACCATTTTCTCCTTCCTACATAAACTTACAAAGGAACAAATAACTGCAACTATGACTCTGGGTCAGCTGTGATGTTAAGTAAGGGTGCAAATCTCTTCACCACATTTATCCTAGTTATCCTACTCCTCATTGCTTTTACTTGCATTTTAGGGAGGAAGTGGAAAATGCATTAAAAGTTTTCCCTCTAAAAATGGGCCTGGAAGTGGGAATTGCTTTCTCAGGAGTTTGCCACCTGTAGTTGGTTAGATCCACTCACTGAGAATTGTTAACGAAACATTTTTAATTGCTGTCCTACACATTTTAACAAACTCTATGATTAACAATACCACACAAGTTTTAATTTTAAAAAGTATTTTATTTTACCAAAATTATTATTTCCGAAAGTTTCATTTTTAATTTTTTTTTTTTAAACACGGGAGAAAAGTTTTGAGTAAAAACTATTTTTAATTATACCTTCACGCCACAAATTAGGTGGGACATTGGGTAGGTTGAGGTGCCTTGTGCCTTTTGCTGTTTCAGAGCAACCCGTGGAGTGGTTCAGCTTTTAAGCACGACCTGCAGCACCAGGGACTTGAAGGTATTTTTCCTGCCTCACCAAGTACCAGCTGTACGCTTCACCTACTTACCCACCCGCACGTATTTGCTGACAGCGAATCAACTCTACACATCGTGCAGGTTTAAGTGTTTGAGGTGTCCGGCCGGACTAAGGGGCGGCAGGAGCTGGGAGCCTGTGGCTGCGCTGCCCGGGAGGAAGCGAGTAACTCCGTGTGCCCCCTGCCCTGCCTGGATCTGCAG